ACACGTTAACATTGTTGACATGACGGCTACTACAGTGGTTCTAAAAATTAATCCTAACCATGGAAGTTCCCATAGTAATTACCGTGTAAATCCAATTTTGTATTTTGGATCAAACTGTTGCGAGGCGCCACAATATGTCGTTCTGCTTGGAACATTCTGCCAAAACCTGTATCCTTATATACCCAAGGGTAAACAATGTTTTCATTTTAAGAAAGTTTCATCATCACATAGGTTTTAAATAGTCTAGATAATCGATCAACCAACGTGTAATTTTTGTAGTAATATTGCAGTTTTATTGTTGTTTTAGTTTGATAGAAACCATTCAGCTGTTATAATTGAACCTAATAGCATGTTGATAGAATGCACGATTTGTCCACCTCATTTAAGTACAATTGATATAATCGGCACATACGAGCTATAAGTTACGCGCTAACATGCATGTAGTCCTTACAAATAAAAATGTATACACATTGTTTAACAGGTGTATTGCAGATTGGCTATTTACCTAATAAACTGCATTTGTCATTTCGCGTTCCTATACAGTTGTTATATTATTGTGTAAATATTTTGCCTTCTTAGACAAGAGTTTATAACTGAATTTATAACTTCCGTGTTATAACTGGTCATACTCATAAAAACGATTATACATACTACTTTTTATACCTTTATATTGCGAAACGGATAGCGACGAACCATCAAGAATGAAATAAAATATAGTTCGCTATGATCCCCTCACATTAGAAGACTTTGAAAGTAAATATTCTTTTCTGAACTCAAAAATGAAAAAAGTTTTTGTGAAGTAGTGAAATTGATACATAGTGCTATAAAGCAAAGGACTAAGGGTGACGGTCTTCTAGTATTTGAAGTCTTTTTATAATATTAATAATTTAACGACCAAACCAGTGCCGGGGTGGTTTCCCACATGCATGCTGATACTAAATTTCTCCACTATTTTAATTAATGTTATTATACATATAAAACTTTTTAAAATACGCATTAAAATCCATTGCGTAGTTTTAAAGATTTAAGCATACATAGAGATATAGGGACATAGCAAGCGACTTTGTTTTATACTATACATATAGTGATGATGATTTATTTATTTATTTAGAAAACCAACAGCGATACATGTGGTATAATACAAATAAAGATATTACAGTTTAGTAAGGCTAATAATAGGTTTCCCTGCTTAACTTAATTTGTGTTTACCATGCGAACGGACTTTAAACAATATTAAAAAATAAAGTCTTACTATACATAGAATTGAAAGTTAAATATACTACTTGTTATAAAAAGAAATTAATTAAAATATGAATTAACATAGTTGATACTTTATGGTGAATGGAACAAAGTTACCGGCTGCTTGTCTATATCAATTATAAGCCTTTTAACTCGGGCTTTAAAACTAGGTTTTGTGCAGTTAAACATATCAACCTGAGAGAAGTTTCTGTTGTAGGTTCGCGCAATGCGAGTAAGTACACAATTACTAGCATAATTAGTGGCATGCCTTGGTACATGCAACATTGGCGTATGGCGAGTGCGTCGTAGAGGAGCATTAAATTTGATCTGTGATAACAAATCCGGACAATCCAGCCTACCATTCAGTATGTCGTAAAGTAGACACATGTCCAACACTTCGCGTCGCTCATCGAGTGTTAACAATCCATACGTCCGACAGCCATTTTCATAGGACATTGGAGGTTTACGAAGGCGGTAGTTAAGGTGATTAATGAATTTTTTTTGAACCCGTTCTATTTGATTTTTATATACATTATATTGAGGGGACCATATTGGGCATGCGTATTCAAGAACGCTGCGAACATAAGCAAAATATACAGATTTAAGCGCTTCAATGTTTCTAAATGCCCTGCAGGATCTTAGAACGAATCCTAAATTTTTGTAAGCTTTGGCAGTAATAAGATCTATGTGATTTGAAAATGACAACCCGCTATCGAACATAACTCCTAAGTCTCGAACTACCTCAACTTTTTTGATAGTCATTCCATTAAATTGGTACGAGTACGTTATAGGGTTCCTCTTACGTGTATAACTGATGCATTGACATTTCGTGACGTTCACTGAAATTTTGTTTCTTGTGTAGTAATCGTGTAACCTGCCAAGGTCTTGTTGGAGAGCTGTACAGTCATCAAATGAAGTTATTTTATAAAATATTTTTTTGTCGTCAGCGTACATTAAGTGTTCGGAGTGTTTAAAAGAGTCAGTAATATCAAATAAATAAGCATTATAGAAGAGAGGTCCTAGATGGGATCCTTGTGGAACACCGCTAGGTATTTCTATGAAGTTAGAACGGTAACCACCCAATATTACAGCCTGTGACCTTTTAAATAAATATGATTTTACCCAACGAAGAAGATCGCCGCGAATACCAAGTCTGTACAATTTGCTGAGCAGGATGCTGTGATCCACACGATCGAAAGCTTTTTCAAAATCTGTGTAGATCACATCAACCTGCCCTCCCTTATCAGTATTGCCAAGGACAAAGTTAGAGAAGTAAGCTAGATTGGATATACTCGAACGCTTTTTTAAGAAACCGTGCTGCCTATAGGAAATACCTCTAAGAATGCAAGGATATATAGCATTGTACACAAGCTTTTCAAATACTTTACCCAAAGTATTAAGTATAGAAATACCTCTGTAATTTTCTATTTTTACTCGCGAACCCTTCTTATGTATAGGAATTATAAGTGCTTTCTTCCATTCATTTGGGAACGCACCTTCTCTTAGAGAAATATTAAAGATAAAACTAATCGGACGTGCTAGAGACCCTGCGCATCCCTTCCAAAACAATGGTGGTATACCGTCATTACCTGGACCCTTATCTGTGCGTAAAGAACTCAGCGACCTCTCCACAGTTGATGCAGTAAATTGTATGTCACTTATGATATCAACACAAACATCTTCAGCCTCTGTGACCCCCAAACCAGCAAGGTTATAGTCTGAGGGTTCTCCAAAAACATCATGAAAGAAGTCGCCGAATGCTTCGCAAATGTCTTTTCCATCTGTGTAGTTTAGATTGTCACGAGACAGCTTTCCGGGATAACTTGATCCTCCACGCAAATTTTTTATGTAACTCCAGAACTTTTTAGGATTCTCTTTTAAACTATTTTCGGTCTCATGTAGGTATTTACTAAAACAAAGCCCCTGAACATATCGCTGTCTATCCCGCAACATTGCAAACTCATCGCGATCGAGCAGGTTACCGAAACGTTTCCAACGAGAGTGTGCCCTACTTTTTTGTTTAATTATTTTTATAAGGGCATTACTGTACCAGATGGGATATCTGCGAGAGCCCACAGGTCGGCTAAGAGGTACGTGTTCATCAATTCCTGCTTGAATCGTGTCATAAAAAGCATGTACCGCGATGTCTGTTGATTTTTTATCCAACGTTGATTTCCAGTCAATTTTAGCAAAGTAATTATTTAATGCGTTATAATCAGTCTTACGGTAATTACGTCTCGGCGCGGACAACTCACGAAAGGGGGAGATTTCAAGGTCAGGGATTTCTATAGCCAACACTGGATGATGGATGTCAACTTTCGTTACCGGATGGACACATTCGTTTATGTTTAATAGCAAGTTAGAAAACGCCAGATCTAATGTATGACCTTTGCTGTTTAAAAGTGTATTATATTGGGTTATTCCTAAAAAACATAAGTCATTCACCAACCGCATTGCTGCATTTTGTACCTCGACGGCACCCTGTTTTAGAAAAGTTGGCCCACCCGGATTCCATTTAATACAGGGTAGATTAAAATCTCCAATTAGTAAATAGTTGTTCTTTTTTGTTTTGTGGGATAGTAAATTCGTAACTCTCTGCAAAATGTAATCTATATCAGGCACCATCCTATGAGCGTCCGGAGGTACGTAAACAACACTTACATAAAGATTGGCCGATGTAGACAGGATGATGCACACATAATAAACAAAGGTACCTACATACATAAGGCGGACTTACCGGCGGTAATATTTGTCAGTTAAGCTTAGGGCTTAGTGGGAAATCAACGACACTTGGCTTGTGTAAAATATTATAAGTAATTATAACAGTTAAAATAATTTAAACAAATATAATTTTAAAACTAAATAATTAAACATAACTATTATACACAAACAACAGTGAAAGGAAGGGATGAGGTCGTATTTACGAAGACTGAAGATAATGTACCTATAGTGAATTCGATCCAATTTGTTTACAAGATCTTGGGATAGATCAGAGTAACAATTAAACGCAAGCATAATCAATAACAGGGACCGGAGATGCAACGCTTTTATATTTGGTGGCAGAAAATTTTTGTATCTGTAAAGAGATCGCAGCGTGGCAGTAACTTTGCAATGAGGCACCGCGACCTCGGCCTAAAGCAGGAGAAAGAACGGTGGGGTTTTTAGCCAGTAAGAGTCCAACACTCCTCTCGCCTTGCCCTGGGCGGGAGAAGTAATTTAATGATTTTCTTCTGATAAAAAAAAGGTTGGCAGTAACGACCAACCTGAGTGACTCGATAGTTCCAGTTGAGTCCGCCATCCAGATACAAAGCTGGATCCTTTACATGAAGAGACAACGGTATGTAACTTGATTGAATCTAATCGGTGTGAGCCGATTACCATTCAAATAGCATAGATAGGACCTACCTAAGATAAGGGCTTGACATTTGCTAACATTTACGCCACTCTATACTTTAATTCTTTTACAGTTTTCTATCGTGAGCAAGTCGGTGTTAAGCCATTGCAGGAGTCCAAATCAGCTATTTTTATAAATAGTGGTTAGCATGCTATATTGAACGGTGAAAGAAAATCGGTGTACGTAGCAGATTAAATAATAAACCAATGACAAAAAATGCAAACTCTTTTTCTAGAATAAAAAAAAAGTTGTCATCACCAAGAGGAAATGTCACTTGACAGTTATTTGATAAAATAGTTTTGAGAAATGATTTACTTCATATATTAGTTTATACCCAATAATCAAATGCTCGTTCACTTGGACTGCTATGATTCTGACGTGGCGACATGTTACCAAAGCCCTTTTAATTGTTGTCAGCGTACATCAAGTTTGGTCGCGAAAGAGCATTGCGACAGGCGATCCTAAAGACTGGAAAGTGATAGAAGCACTAGCAGAAGAGTATCCCTTCGTGGTAGGTTTGTTGAGCGGCACTAAAGACTATATTTGCACGGGCAGCATCATCAGCAAGCGGTCTATACTAACATCGGGTAGCTGCGTTTCATATGATCCCAAGTATGTCCTGCTAAACACAGCCATGTACAATAAAAGAATTAATACAACGTCCATATTTGAGGTAGCGTACACGAAGCTCCACACAGACTACATATACGACTTGAAAACGTCTGATCCTAATGTCACCCGCATGCACAGTAACATAGGCTTGGTGTTTGTGCTGCCACCAATACTGGAACTTTTTGTTATTGCTGCCGATGTTGGGAATTATTACGCTTCCGAGTTGAAAGAGAAAAAGCTAATTGCTGTTGGGTATGGTAGACTTGGCGCGTCTGATACGATAGCACTACAGCATCAAGCGTATCATCAGACCCCCTGCACGAACCCTAAGTGGTACTATTGCGTCTGCGGTATCGAGTACTCAACGTACACGAGGACCTACACGTATGAGTTCGGCATAGGCGCCCCAGTGATGCTCGGCAGCGAGCTTGTTGGCATCACCGCTACACCCTGTGGGACCCTATCAATGAAAAACTTGGGCATTAAATATAACATATTTACTGTCATCGGGCCGTACTTGCCGTGGATAGATAAATCCGAACGTCAACCAAATGTACTTGTTCAAATGCAAACCATTAGTGGCAGTGGCCAGAGCGCAAGTTCATTACTACTTCTTTGTATATTGATGATGCTTAGTAAAACGCTTTCATGAAAACTAATCATTCGTTTTCCTATTTGAGTAATGAAAGAACTAAAATGATTAAATTAACATGTGTTTTGATATCGACTCGCTAATATTCAGTCGGAAATTAGCATGTATTACGATCTAGAACTAGTGACGGCAGTTAACATCAAAAAGGTGTGAAATAAATAAAAGAGATGGAACGTTCGGAAGCACACACACAGATCACACGAGATCCAGTAAGTACACGCATCATATACATAATATTGCAACCGAAACAGATAAGAGCTGCTTGTCCTGTCTATTTTAATGCATCGCAAAAGTACAATGTACTCGGTAAAAGTTGTATACTTAAATACTTCCATCGATACACTTGCGAGCTGTCGCGATGGTGGAGTATTCACTACAGTGCCTTTGTGTTATATAGTGCCATATTTACAAACATAAAAAAAGTTTTATTTAAACTTTTTAAATAAATACCCTTAGATTTTTTGACTTACTACCCAATTATTTTGCATACTCTTTGGTTTAATTGTTTGGAAAACAATCTTGTAGTTTATTTTTAGGCTTAAACTTTTTTAACTGTCGTAAAAATATAATATTCTAAGCTAATTACTTAACATATTTTTTCCATTAATTCACGTGAGTACCATTCTAATTATTAATATTTATATACCTATTGATTTACCAAATTTTTACACTGCTTTTTCTTTTATTGTTTTGAATTTTACATTTTTAAATATTTTCAAAAAAAGAAAAATAAACACTTAAGAAAATAAAAAGCAGTATCCCACCGGTTGCGGGAGGGTTTCAAGCAACCGGTGGTCAGGGCTCAGAGAAAGGAATCTCCGAATTATTATTTTTATCCAAGGATAGGACTATTCATAATGAAAAACATACTAATGCCTGTGATTACTATTATCTTTTATCCTATTGATAAACAGATGATAATTACAATAAAAAATTGCTCTAAAACGATAACCTTTGACACTGGGCCCCTTATGATAAGCCACAATATTTTAGTGCGAGAGTGATCTCATGTCGTCAGATGAGTGAAGTTCTTCTATTAAAGATGTTTGCTAACAAAATAAAAACGAAAATGAATATATTTAAGGTGCTAGTGCGAAACATGAGCCAAGAGAAGAAATGGGAGCCTTTGAAAAAAGTGGGGATCATTGGTGTGCCGTTCGAGAAGGGGCAGAAGAAATATGGCGTAAGCGTAGCTCCTGCGGCTCTACGATATGCCGGTCTCATTCAGCAGCTGAGCGAAATCGGTATTTCATTTTTTTTTATTTTTTATATTCTCCTTAAATAGTTTAAAGGTGATTTACATATGATCATTGTTTAATCATTAATCAACTTGACTTAAAAAAAATCATTATACTAATACCTAAGTACCTACTCGTAAACAAGCTTTTTTTCTTATTGTTTATCAATAAGTTAACTTCAAAAGTTGTAACTAAAGATTATTTCAAAAAGATATTATTACCCACCTACTAGGTACATTTTTATTATAAATACAGCTACATATTTTTAGACTTAATAAAATTTTGAAGCACGTCTAACAAATAGATACACATATAAATGTGCTAAATCTATCCACTTTTAATTTTTAATTATATATTTTGTAACTGCTTTAGGTATAAATATTTATTACATATTACAATTTCGGAAGTGGGTTTTATTTTTTGAATTAGTTCTGTTGCTATTTAGGTACTCTGGTAAGGAAAAAATTGTTAAACAACAATAAAACAATGTATATATTTTTGCAAATGGGCCATGAAACAGCACTTTTACACGTCAAAATCATTTAAAAAACTAGACGAAGCCTAGAGCTTCTATACATTGTTTATGTGAATTGAATAATGAGGTACGTACATATGTATGTACGTATGTATCTATGTAGATATGATTGATTAATATTGTTTCATAATTATTGTCGTTTTAGATGGTCTCGACGTGAAAGACTATGGCGATATAGAAACGCCAGGGATCGAAGAAGTGAAAATGGAGAATATGGCACATTTGGCGCCGGTGTCAGCCTGCAACAAAAAGCTCTCAAAGCGCGTCTCTGAAGTCCTCAGGGATGACAGAGTAGTTGTCACCATTGGCGGTGACCACTCTATCGGAGTCGGTAAGGCCTAATTACTTGCTATTGTTGAGTGCTCCAGTGCTCCTTAGGCTTCCTCTTTCACGTTCATTCAACCAATCACTATCCGGCTTATGTAGAGGAATCCTACAAGTTTTTTTTTTCAAGAGCATCGCATCATACGAGCACGGTATCGCCCAAGAATATTCTTGGGCGATACCCGGGACATATTAGGTATCCCCTTTTTTCCTTAATTGCTTCCTCTACTTCTCTACGCGACTTTCTTTCTCTTATATCCATATATATAGGGACACCCTATATATATGGATATAAGAGAAAGTAAAGAACGGATAACCTTGAAATGCCTTTTAGTATATCTTATGACCATTCAGAAAAAAAACAAAAAGGAAAGTATCATGTGTAGTGCCTAAGTTATGATGTCTTGAAGTAGAAGAACTGGTGCTAAAGTAATAGAAATTGATCCATCAACATTCACGTATATTACATTATTGCATAACCGCGATGATTAAACATTACTGCAAAAATAAATTATACACAATTTGTCTAAAATAAATTAATTGCAAGATTTTTTTTTTTTTTTTTTTTTTTCGTCAATTTATTTTTCGTGTGTTTTCTGAATGGCCTTAAGATATACTTAAATGTAATGCAAGATTATCCATTATTTACCGGACACCTGTACAACCTTTATACAACCTTTCAATTTCTTTAAAAAAATAGCATTATATTTGCTTCATTTGCTAATTCTATATCTTTCACCATTCCAGGCACTGTAGATGGCCACTACCAAGTAAACAATGACATGATCCTGATCTGGGTGGACGCTCATGCAGATATCAACACCAATAAAACTTCGGACTCTGGATCTGTACACGGGATGCCAGTCGCTCTTCTAGTCAAGGAATTCTGCAGTTATTGGCCTTATCTACCAACAATGGACTGGCAGGAGCCCTTGTAAGCTTTTTAAATACCTACTATACAATGCACATTCGAACTAACGCAAAGCCGGGGTTGCAAAATAAGCGTAATAACAATAAGTCACCGTCCGTCCAGAGCAGGAGAAGGAACGGCGTAGTTTTTAGTCTTGCACTTGCATTTTGATTCAAATTAATGATAAACTATAGAATCGGGCGTTACTATGCGGAAATCCATGACATAAAATTACGAAAAATATCAAGTATTAATTCCACGACAAACCCCATGCAATCATGCATATGCACATGCAGCAAAGGAAACATGCGCGAACCGGATTTTTTATTCTTTCTATCATCTCTTCTGTTTGCAGATTCTCGATACACAGCTTAGGATACATAGGCTTACGATCCGTGGACCATTACGAGAGACTTGCTATTGAGAAATACAAAATACCCACATTTGCTATGGAAGACGTTGAAGAGTAAGTATAGGTTCTCATTGATAACTAGCTTTAACGAGCTACCTCATGCCAATACAGATACCAGTTACCAAAATAAATCTAACTTAGGTACATCCAACTAAAAATAGTTGGATTGAAAAAAAATCATTTTTTCCGGAGATGACTACGTTCGAAAATACAAAAAATTTTTAGAGCTTCCCAAAAATACCCTGGCGATACCCGATTCTTTATAACAGACAAAAAAAATTTCATTGTTTTTTCTCTATAGGTACTGCTTTCTAAAAGCACTTTTGCGATACCTGATTTTCTATTCAAAAATATTATTTATAGAAATGCACATTTTACTGTCATAACGTGATGATTTATTGATAAACGATGTTATTATCTTCGCTTAAATTTTACGAAATATAGATAAGCCATTATTAAATCTTATTAAATTTGAAACTTCTATTTAGACATGGAATCAAGAAATCAATAGAGCACGTGTTGAAGAAGTTGGATCCTGAAAATAAACGGCCTATCCACGTAAGCTTCGACATCGATTCTTTGGATGCATTGGAAGCGCCCAGCACTGGCACACCAGGTCAGTATTCATACTTACCTACTTGAAAAAATGAATTTGATTTCTTTTAAAATCAAAATCAAAGTGGATACCTGTCCTTAAAGCCGCCGTAGGTTACCTCGGCTCCGGCTAGAAGCAGGAGCCGGAATGTGGTGTCAGTCACGCTGCAGGAATGATTTTGTGATTTACCTACCCCGTCAAAGTGAAAAGTAATTGTCATTTAGTTTTATAAAATATAGTTATTATGACTATAAAACATTTATTTTTAACAGTTCGTGGTGGCCTATCACTTCGCGAGGCTATCAATCTCATGGAGATAATTTATGCCACTGGCCGTCTACGAGCTGTGGACCTCGTCGAGATTAATCCTGCTATTGGCGACGAAAGTGACAGGAAGAAAACCATCGAGGCGGGACTCTGCGTGTTGAAGGCAGCGCTAGGCTTCTCCAGACGAGGCACTGCACCTCGTGGAGTAATAGACCTGCCAGTACAAGATCCTGACGCTCAATAACGACTGATTAGCACGTACCTACTTACAACTAGATCATACTAGCAACCATGTTACTATAATGGCTATGTTTCAACATTTTTCATAGTTCTGTATTTTATAATGCATATATATCTATGTTATACCTATTAACCTGGTAAACTTATTAAACTCATTAAAAGGTGCATCCTTTATTACGTCAGTCACGGTGGGTAGGCTCACTAAGAAGATATGCAGGTGTAATCGTCAAAAAAGTGACAAATTATTATGATAGTCGTTGCTGTGCGACGTCAAATGGCTCAAAGTCAAAGTCACAATAAATATCTAGATACCTACCTACTACCTAGAAGCAGTATTTTATTGCTAACCTAAATGGGTACTAGAACAATTGAGTTCAAATCAGCGTAACGGACGTGGTTATTGAAATCATAGGCTGAATTTAATGGATTTCTATTGTGTTACAAAGATACTGATAGGTACATGTATATAATTTTTTTATGTCCTTACGGAGATGATTGTTTTTCTGGTGAGTTACTGAATCAATCGGTTTCTAAGTATACAGCTTTGCTCAGAGGTTTTGGCAAATACCACTTTAGCTATTAGAACAAATAAAGCTATATATTTAACAGCGCGGTTGGTATAATGCTCGTGCATTGATATTTAAATAAATGCATGATATAGTATTTTTAATAAAATTATTACCTACAACATTAAGTATTATATTTTCACGGTTCGCATCAATAAAAAAATAGATATTCGTTCGCCATCATTTACATTTTTACTTGATGAACCACCAATCCGCCGCTGGTTAACTTAGACGAAAAAATAATTATTGTGGCGAAGGCACCTCAGAGACTGCGTACGAGTATATTTTAAAATATCAATGATTGAATAGTGCCAAACTGGGATAATACAAAAAATTAGTTCCTATCCACAAGAGCAGGGAAAAAGGCATTATTAAAAATAAAATATTGCTATATCCACCAGTAGACCGAAAATACAGAGGCAACTGGAACATATTTCAAAAATACAGATTTAACTGAATCTATTTACTTGCAACATTATTATAGGCTAGGAAAATTATTCTTCCTTACTTGGAAGACTTGCTTCATATCTTTTGTATTTATAGCTGTATAGGACCTAATAGCTGATTTTCGGATAAAAAAAAACACAAATTTCTTACAGATAACAGGCATTATTGCAGTAGTTAACTGTCTGGAACCATTGGCGGACAACAACATAGATGAAGAAACAAAAACTATATTAGACAAATACGTTAAATTAATACCAGACATCAAATCACGTTACGTTATCGATGATTCATTAAGTAAAATAATAGATTACTATTTTAAAGGGAAAATTAACACGCTACCTTTATACAAAATAAGTTTGACTATAGACAGGAACCCAGTAAAGATCCCATGGTCTGCCGACCAAGCAGGAGAAGTTCATAACGAGAATGAAATACAAAAAGCTCTAAATGAACAGTTAGATAAAAAAACGAAAGGAAAGCATTACAAAGTGAAGATGATATCAAAACTGTCCATGAGGAATAAGAAAAGTACAACCGAAAAGCCATTGGCGACGGTAGCGCCATCTACACTGTTAACCACGTCATCTGGCACTGTTACGTCCGGCGAAACAGAATAAAACAACACATTCGTTTTTTACTATTGCTTTTTATTTGATATTCATTAAAATATTTACATCTTCGTTTTGTACAATGACAAACATTGAGTAAATTTTATCATTTGCAAATAAAATAACATGATTTACCTATAAGAATACTTGTTTCTAACTAATCTTTCGAAAGTTACATTTCTAAGATAGGTTAGAATCCGAAGCACACTTTTGTTTTAGTCTGGTGTTGGTCAATACAAATTATGTTCTAAAAACACAACCATAGATTGGTGCTAACTATATTTTAAGAGCCATTGTCAACTTTTTATTTACTAGCTACCACTAACGACTGTCGTAGTTATTCATACGACTAACATGTGGTTACGTATCTTTAACAAATAACAATAACAAAATTCACAGTAAGTAATGGAATAAAATTTATAACTCGGTAAATGTTGATAGGTTTAAATTCGTCTGAAAATATTCACCTGTCTAGTTATTGAAAACAAGTTGAAGGCAATATGGCATGATAACAGTTATTTTCTATATTTTTTTACATAACAGACATGACGCAAGCACACTATACGACCCAAACTTGTACTCATTTATTAAATACGTGCTACAAACATCCACACATACTACAATACATTCATCATTCACTACTAATTATAGACGGCGCCACTTTCTTTTGATTAGGGTCCCTTCCACTATGCTCGTGCTAGCTAAAAGTATTTTCCGATTTCAACACATTTCATATAGAAAATACTTCTAACATACAGCCAATAACGAAGCACAATCATAAATTGTGAAATAGGCCCTTAGAACACCAACTAAATGTGTAATAATAATTATTTTTTTTGTAAAATAGCGTGCAGTCCGACATAATAATTTAAAGTTTGCTAGTCTAGCTTTATATTTTTGCTGAAAAAAGGCCAGTATGAATATTACTTACTGACCTCAAATGACTGGCTATGTCACAATACATATCGCTTAACTGTAAATTGAAGTCGTACCTTTATATATGAATGAATATACTAAAAAAAAAGTTCATTTATTAATCAAATCAGTTAAAATTCATTTATACATCACTTTTGGAGTCCCAACATGAGAGGCAAGATTGCCAGTCTAATAACTGCACAAAAAAACTGAACTAGCAATATGAATAAAAGTATTGTCAATAATGGTGCCAAATGAAATTATAATTCTAATTAAATGTATGAAAAATATAAAAACAATTTTACTATAGCTTAGAAGTTGACTTGAGCTCTATAATGTTTCTGGAACTTATTATTCTTTAGAGACATCTTCATCTGCCACTTCGCCTGTACGCGTTTCATAAAGTGAATGTCGCGTGCTTTCCTGGAAAAAATATATGTTCTTGAGAATATTACACAATTATTTCATTTTTATAATCGCTGCGTAAACTAACTAATAAATATCTGAAGAATGAATGATGCAAAATGTTCAAATTATTTTCTATACAATATTTTTATTTTTATCCAAACAAATCAAACAAATTCGTGAGTGATGAGTGATTCTGAAGCTGAAGCATTCACTGCTTATTAGTTCTTTAATGGTATAGTGAAAAAATATCCAAACACCTGACGATCTACAACATACAAGTTAAGAATGTTATCACTTACTTAGCAGCTAAGGCCTGTTCCTTGGGCGCCCAGCCGAGTGCTCGGTAAACACCAAGTAACCTGTGCAGCTTGCGGTCCGATTTCTTCACTAGAGCTTGACTGTTCTGTGTCAAGTTTTGTTTGTAATATCTGTAATAGAATGAAACAATCATGATGTAAATATTCTATGAATTAAGTAAAACATTTTATTTTATCTTTTAAAAACGTTGGAATGTCACATACACATAACATCCACACCCAGAACAACAATTTGTGAATCACACAGAGTTGTGCCGTACGGAAATCGAACCCGCGAGACGTTGTGCGGCAGCCAGTTGCCCAGCCACCGCGTCAACCGTGCAGTCAAACATATATTACTGATAAACATGATACTTAGAGAGCGATCAGCAACTTTTTTATCGCGGCATTTAATAATAAACTATTATCTTGACTTACATAATTGGAAGTATATCTAATTGATTTGAAATTAATTGCGCTATAGTTTAATTGAAGTTGCAATTTGCATCATCCAAAACTTTCCGACTTGAAGGTCATCATTAACCTCTTATGCAGCGCACGCATGCGCACGCGCAATTCGTTTTAATGCGATAACAACAGCAAGTTCAACATTAATAAACAATTTATGTTTCATTTGTCGTTAGTTTCTAAATCTGATGGTAAATTTATAGTTTAATTTAATATTTCTACAACGACTTAGTGTTTATCTTAAATTCTTAAAATAATAATATTTAAGTTTTAATTTGTATGTGAACTTTAAAATTCTACCTGGTATTCGAATTTCAACTTTATGCCCATTACAATGAGTGCTTGAATAAATACAAACTTGATATTATCCCAATACCTCAAATAACAATGTGTTGCTTAATCACCTGTGTAAACATTACATAAGGCGTGACATATTAAAAACTTACTTCATAAGGGAGCGATGGCCGACAACGACACCGGAAGGTAGTACCAACTGGAAATCATCACCCTGTAGTGTTGTGGGTGCTTCTACTTCGTCATCCACATCCATACCATCTTCCTCATCACCATCCTCTTTATGATCTGGGTATGAAGAACTAAAAGAACAAATGAGAAAAATTAAAATTGTATCTTGTCTAGATGGCTCATTTTTACAACAATAACGGCTGCCCCTGTTCGCACAGATATATCTAAAAACCTCAGTGTCAGTCATTTATTTTGCCAGTGATGCGCCACAGCATCTAACTCATTGCTGCTTCCCTATTTTCTGACAAAGCATAAAAATTATTAACAGAATGATTGTGCATGATGTGATGGCCCAAGGCAAATTGGAATTCATTGTTATAGATAAGCAAATTAGTTTACTAGACAATAAAGCAATCAGTGACATAAAGAATTGTTTAAGTATAATTACTTAAACTATTAGCCAGTATTGCGGTTGTAGCAATAATGTTCCCTGGCCCTGGCCCAAGCCCATTAGTTTTTAGTCAGGAGTCTGACATACTCTCACTCTCTGGTCGTACCCAGGACCAGGTTAAGTAAATGAAAATTAGTTTGTGGGTGTTTGTTTACATAGAAGTTCTTTGGTACAAAATCTATCTATGCACACTTAAATTCGAGATCCGTTTTAAGATTTAGGGTTTTTACCTGTAGTCATAATAATCGGCATATTCTGCAAGAGCTAGGCCTTCGTGCAACATTTTGCAATGTCCTTTGTCAATCATATGCCCTCTTACTGCTTCCATAGAGTAAAATGTACGGCCAGTATCATTGCACCAGAGGCACATGTAACCCTGTGATATCTGTGAAATAAACATAACCTTCTTTTGATATATGTTCCAAATGTCAAAAACTACCCACAAAAAGTTCAGATACCTAAATAAAATTCAAAGATAGCCTAGCTTTAGTCTTTAAATGAACTTAATTTATCAATGTGAATGTCAGTTCATACACTTATTGTTTTTCTATTGTGCCTCAAAATACCACTATTGCTTACTTTGCTTTTTAAATATAATAATTTTGGGGTAGATTTGCAAATAATAATTTTGTTTCAAAATACACCAGGGCAGGGTTAAGAAACCCTTAAAAAACTTGTGACTAAGGTAGTTAAGTGAGTAACTCTTACCTTTTCTCCCAAGTACAGAAGAAGTTCTTTTATATTAATACAGTACTCTACATCTGGTATGAAGAATGAATGGGCCTCAGACATGTGTTTGAGATTCTTGACTATGTTCTTACTGTGATGGCCACAGAACAGACAGTCTCTTGGCTTGATCAGTGAGTCACTGCCCTTAATACGGCACTCCTCCCACTCATCCGAGTCAAGCTAGAAAAAATATTAGAAAATTTATAAGAAATAAAGTAATGTACTCATGATAGAATATGTGATACTACATGGTACATTCTTCGCTACATAATTAATGGAGGATCACTCAACCAATTTAGTGCATACTTCATCTTTGACCATACATCATATAGTCTAACCATTAGGGGAGTCTATTCTTGAGATATAAAATTACAACAAAAAGCAGCATTGACTTAAATTCGTAAAAGATTTAGTTCAATTACAAAATAATAATAATATGCATGGCAGTGATGAAGCAAAAAAATATCATGAAAAATGATAAGATTAAAATCTTAATAATACAATGGTTTTTAAAAACCATTGCACAATAAAATGAAATATTTACATGGGTATGGGTGAATAAGCTCACAAAATTTAACATACCTCTTCGATTTCGGAATCTGTTTCTATGTCCTCGTCGCCGGAGTCGTCAGCAGAAACAATAACAAACTTGCTAGGATCCTTGGAAACATTTGCACTAGGCTCAACCTTAACAAAACTATCCGTATCAGAATGACCACTTTGTTCGTCTTCTTTATTTTCGACATACCGTTCTTCAGATAACTTGTGTTTCTTACTGTTCAAATGATTGTCGAAGGCATTTTTTGAGTTAAATAACTTTGAACAATACTTGCAGTACTGCGACTCATCGCGGCTTACATTCTGACTCTGTTCTCTGTGCTCTTTCACTCGCTGCTCAAACTCTTCCAGAGTAACAGGTGGTATTGAAGCAACCTTCCTTTTTAAATTATACCTGTGCCAGTCCTGTTTATAATGTTCACGTTGTAATTCAGGCGTTTTGAACATCACCTGGCAGGTTATGCAAGTAAATGTATCAGGCATTGTTATACTTTATTTCAAACGCTTTTTACAACAATGATGTATCACAGCCAAATGAACACTAGAATTGAATTATCAAGGCTAATTAATTAGGTTTTAATGAAAAACTGAGGAATGATTTGAAAACGATAAGTTGAACGAAAAACGTATAAATACGCACAAAGATTAGAGGCCCACTAGTGATGTTACTAGTAATATAAACAAATACAATGACAACTCGACTATTTTCATACAGGACCGGAAAAAATGTGAATTTTATCTGATATTTTATGTAAATCGTATTGATACTTGGTTATATTATTTTATTGAGAAAACACCAAAAGAAATTCCCTCGTTTTCGTTCAGTATATAGTAAAATAATAAGTATAGAGCGGGCACAGTTTTATGGTATTTACAAACATTGTAGAAGGGTCCTTCTTTGCGATATCGTGCAGATTGACAGTGATGTTAGGCTCAGTTGACATTGACAGTCAACAGAAGTTTGTGTCATCAAATAAAAAATCTAGAAAAATAAAACATCCAGTGAATCGTGATGTGCCGATTGGATAGCGATTAAAACATTATAATATTAATTACACACTTCCCAACGAAGGTAGTCTAATCGCCTTGAGCTTAGTTGGTAAATAGTACATTATATAACGGATGTAATTTTATTTCGAGACACTGACCACAAGTCGTAGGTACGACAGACTACGACAGAATTGAATGACCTCTTGAATCACAATTATTTGTGAAAGTACATATTATTATATTTGTTTATTTGTAATACCAGGATGTTAGAAACAGAAGAAGTTGATGATGATTTCTTCACTCCTGTAGCTGGGTAAGTAAGGAGTTAAAATAAATTAATATTTTTAGGATATCTGATTCCCCTGTCTTAAAAGTTGTATCATCGATCGGTTGGAAGTAGCTAGGCAACCAACAGCTATGTAACCATTCGCGGGTTCGAAACCCGCGCGGATTTTGTGTGAATCAAAAAAAAATGTTCCAGCTTTGGCTGTAATGTGTATAGTATGTTAGAAACAGGAGAAAAGTTGAGTGTGAGGCAATGTTTAATAATTATGTGCACAATAGACTATGAAACTATACTTTTTATTTTCAGTGCTTCTTTGGCCAACATATTTGGACTTGCTGCAAAAATCAGTGAAGAAAAATCTAATGATTCTTTAAAGTATGTTCCTCCTAAGCCACAAAACATTCCACAGAAACAAGAACAAACTAAAAGCACTGAATGTATATTTGCATGTGCTCTTATTGGACATGAATGGTAACTATATTATATTACAACTGATATTTTCAAGTTGATAATTATATCTTTGATAAATGTAAATTATTACAATTAATTCTGAATTAATGAATATTTTAATATGTAATAGGAAATCATCATTCTAAAAAAAGATTCAATTTTAAAATCAGTTGTGTAAATATCTTGTCCATTTTATCTCATCTCAATGTTCTGTATTGCCATTTTATTTTATTTTATAATTAAAATTAGAATTTTTGTATAATTTTTTTTTTTTAGTTATGTATAAACTCTTAACCTTTTTGGAAGTTAACCTCTTTTTTGTTATCTTTCAGGTTCAATAACATTTATACATCAAGAGGAAAATTAGGTTTTGCTATTGTTAAGATTCAAAAGACTGCAATCCACAATATTGTGTTATATGACTCTAATAAGACAACTCTGTCCTGTACTACTGTATCAAGTAATTTAGAGATTACTATAAAAAATAATACATACATCTCATATTATGATAATCTAAAAAAATACTGGAGTGTTTATGGCACTAAAGATGAAGTAAACAAAATTGCAGAACATTTGTCTAAATTGGATGTCAAGATTCAATATTCCTCATATACTGAACAAGGCCCACCAGAACCTACTAAACTAGACATAAAAACTGATGCTGCATCAGAACAAAATGAGAAAATTGATAAAGGAAGTGATACTGATTCTTCCATAAACAGAAAAACCAAAGCTTCCATTTTGAATAGAATGGCAAATATGGGACATTCAGTTTTACCAACTAGAACTCTTTCTATAGAGAGAACCAGTGACTCTTCAGACACAATGGAAACTGAGACTCAACCAAAACCTGTCAGACATAAACCAGTTAAAAGTGTACCCAAGAAAAGTAATGTAGATAATGCGACAGAAGCACCACTTATAAGTGAAACACACCAGAGAACAATGGTGCCAAAAAGTGATTCAATGGCTAACATTCCATTTTACCCAGCTTCTGGGAGCCAGTTGATACCTATCTCAAGCACAAATATAATTACAGGATCTAACACAGACTTGACTATGTTTATGTCTGAACAAAGGATAAGCAATAGTGAGTTAAGGATCAACATGAATAGGATAACTGATAAAGTGGACTCTGTCATAGACAAAATTAATAAATTTGAGCAAAGAGAAAATTCAAATATTCAAACAGATATATTAATGAAATTGCTCTCAGAGTATGAAAATAAAATTAAAGTTTATGAAGGATTACTCAAATCTAGAAATCTAAATAATACTGAAAGTGTGACTGCTTCAAATCTTTGCCAGAATGATTATCAAATAGGAATATTAACCAAGAAAATATCAGAATTGGAAAGGATTAATCAAGACAAAACCAATGAGGTATCAACTCTGCAGGATGAAATTAAACTTTTGAAGTCACACCATGCTGAAGAAAAAAATAATCATGAAAATGATGAAGCTGCACTACACCAAAAAATTCATAATTTAGAAAGTAGTTTACAAGCAAAAGATAATGAATTAACAGAAATTCATGAAAAATTTGCCAACAAAACAAGTGACAAAGAAGATAGTACTGAGGAGAAAGTTAAAAATATAATGAATGTCACATTTCAAACAGTGTCCTCGAAATTTGATAATGATGAAGTTTACTCAGGAGTTCTAGTCAAGCAAATGGTTGGAGCAATAATTAAAAAAATAACTATGCAAACATTGAAGGATTGTAACTAAAATATTTCTTTATATACCAATATTTTCTTTACACTTAAGAAACTGTCCACTAACTTTATTACAGAAAAAAAAATCAAATAATATATAATGATATTAAAACACTTTTAATAAAATACAATATTATATTATTTTTATAAATATAATAATGTTGCCCCATACTAGTACTTTCTCCTGAGTCATATGTACGTTTAAAAACATACAATTTTACATACACATCAAGCCCAGACCCGGAACAACAAGAAGTGGCCCGGAACCCGGAGCAGAAAATTCCCCGGCCACCGCGCCATACGAATGAAACCCTAACTAACAAAGTAGACATAGGTAATAGTACTCATAATGAGGCTCTACCTATACCTATTCTAAGTACCAATAACAACTTAAATTCTAATAATGGGACGACAAAGTACAAAATCATATCATGAAAATAGAATTAAACGCGAATTGTTTTTATTTTCTGGTGCTGGATAGTAAGTTCAGAACCAATTGAAAGTCTAAGGCGATTCTCACACTGCCCCGCATGCTACAGCGTAGCGCGTGGATGCGTGTTCTTCCGTTGCTTGTAAGTATCTCCATTTGTATGGAAAACACGCACAGTCTAACACACAGAAAATGCATCCACGCACGTTCATGCGGATCACGCGATACACGCGGAGAATAATGCACCCCCGCGCGTAGGTGCGGGGCGAGACGCAAGGTATGGCACACCGAATCCCGCAGCGCCGCGCGTGATTTTGAATGGTTGGTTGGTTGTACCCAGTATCTTATATATTATTATAGACACGATTTGTTATAATTTGACCGTACAAAAACAGTTAGTATAATAGCAGCGTACTGAATGAGTTCCACACCATTTTTATCAAAACTATCGTGATGCTCAGTACTGCACGACCGATGCGAATAGAGCAAGAGCCGCCGTGCGTGAATCTACAAAACGCAACTACGCGCGTGAGTGCGCAAAAAACCCGCACGATGATACAGATCTTCACTCCCGCAGGAACGCGCGTAGGTGCGTCGACACGCAATATGCAGCATGATGCGGGGCAGTGTGAAAATCGCCTAACTTAACTAGTACCAACTATCCAGTTTAATTCAATGTACCTCCCCCTTTTTTGTGAGGGGAAAATTATCAATTGACATCTCTCGGCCAGGGTGAGGCGAGAGGGAGTGTCCGACCCTTATTGACTAAAACACCTACTACCTATTACCTACTCCTGCTTTAGGCCGAAGAAGCGAAAATGTGGTACCTTGTTTTTTGCACTAGCCCCGCAACTCCGGTCGAATGTGCCTCCTCCTAACTTACTTGTATTTAATAGCATTTTTTCTGGTCGATAGTTACTAATTGATTCCATAGCTAATAGTAGCTATTCCAAAGACCAAGTGACCAAACAACGAATGGACAGTTGGTATACTGGAAAAAAACTTCATATGACAAAGCCTACGTCAACGTCAAATTCCAACTTCCAACGTCAAATCAGAAAGACAATTTGGGATTTTGGCCTGTTGTTGCTATTGGTAATGTAAATAATTTAATAAAATTGGTTATTGATATTTGAGAGCAAACTGCAGAAATAGATTTATTGGTGGTTGTTTTAAATTTGAATAATTGAAGGGAGGCTTCAAACTCTAAGGTGCATTAGCTTCAAGCTGCAAGCTTAGTAATCATGGATGATTTACAAAAATCTTTAGACCAGTATGAAGAACAGGTAACACAACTATATGAATTACAAATGTGTACTGAACTTAGGTACAACATACCCTAAAATAATAATTTCTTTCTAAACATAATTTCAGCTGGCTATGGTAAACCTATCACTGGAAACTGTAAATGAATCTGCAGAAAGGGAGTCTCTTCTATCTTTGAAATCCGATTTAGAACAACTTATACAATTGACTAGAGAAAATTTAGATGCTTTAGTGACTAAAGACACAGACACTACAGAGACCACTCAATCTTCTGAAACTAAAGATGAATTGGATGATGAGTATGCTTTGTTTATGGTAAATATAAACAATATAAATTTAACTGTATATGTATACACTGCAGCTATTTAATTATTATTGTTGTTTTCCAGCAAGAGATGGCTAAAAGTGGTGCATATGAAACATCTAAAGAGGCTACACGTGAAAACTCTAAAGAAACACCTGATGATGCTGACAGTGATATAGAGGTAATTTACTTTAAATAATATGGTCCTTGTTGATTAAATAATTGCACAATTTTCACCAAATGATTTAAATTTTCTACAGGATGAGTTGTCCTCACTACTGGGCATGAAGTGTGCTGTGTATCACACACACAGGTGGGGTGGTCAACCTGGACTTTACAATGCTATGGTCAGTGCTGTAGTACCACGGCAAGATGAGGATCAGTTCCAAGACCTACAGGTTGATTTGTTTCATATGTACATACCTAATGTAGCAAAGAAATAATGTAAGAAGCATCAATTATATGTGAATATGATTAGAGTCAATTTTGATATAGTTTTAAACTTAATTGTTAACAAGCTGTGAATTTTGAAATGCACAAATAAAATAAAATGATATTCAAGTAGTCTATCAGTATGTGTATCAAAATGGATAAGACACAATATTTAATTTAAATAATAATATTGTTTTATATAATTACAGGTCCGTGTCCTATTCACACATCCCACTCATGCAGAGATGTTGCCTTGTCCGTTTTATCTTGATGGTGAATGTAAATTTAGTGATGAACAGTGTAGGTGAGTACATTATTATAACTTATAAAATGGTGTTTTAGATGATTCTTCATGAACAATCAAATAAATTGCTAATTATTCCTGATTTCAGATATTCTCATGGTGCTATAGTACAATTATCGAATTTAAAAGAAGCTATAGAACCTGACTTCAGTTCAATTAGAGTAGGAAGCAGAATATTGATGAAAATTAAACCACCAGATGATGAGGTAATAAGTTCAAACTTACTGTAACCTATTACCCTATTCAATTATAAGGTTCATCTTTCAGATTCGCCTTTGGGTTTAATTCTTAAATTACAAAAGAAAACAAAGGCTTGTAAGCCCTTATTTTCTTATTGTACACTGTACACACACATTGCGAAGCTATGCAATGCGAATTTGCAATACAATTCTTGCAGCGATTGTCATCCTTATTTGTCTTTTTTTTGAAATCTACATTATTTATTTTTGTTACAACATACATAGTAGACACATTTGTAAATTCTTGTGACACATCGTGCAAGTTCTCAGGTTTTTGTCTATGTCGCGGTGCTTCGTACCTTAACATAATTATGTGTTTGTAATCTTCTATCCACTTTCTTAACATAACTTTTTTTTAAACAGGATATAAGTTTAGCAAAAAAGTCCACTGAAAAGTACCACCTATGGCATAGAGGTATCATTAAGAACATTGATTTAGAGAAACGGATCTGTTCTGTAAGGTTGGAGCATGGTGTACAGGCAGGAGAGAAAAGGAAACAAGGCAGTGATGAATATAAAGTTAAAATCGAGGATATTTTTCCATTAAATAGTAAGTATTTTTATTTTTAAGAAGGCTTTCACAGATTTTTAAAGGCAATATCCATGCTAAGGTTAACTAATCTAGTTCTTGATCAAGTAGAACTCATTAAATGTAGTGCAAAAGTAGAATAAGAATCAGTGTATTCAGAAGTTTGCTTGTAGTTTCATATCATTGAAAATTTATTCAAATTTGTAGTGTCATAATATTACTTAACTTAGCAATCATTTTATTTTATAGATGATGATGAAGATGAAAGTGATGACTCAGATGATAGTTTGAGTGATACAGAATATCCACAAACCAAAACAATGTGTGAAGATAAAGGTGTTGACAACCATGCTCTATTGGTTGAAAAGAGCTTTCTAAATGAAAATAAATCTCCTATGGGAGAGTGGGAGAGACATACAAGAGTGAGTATGTATTAAAATTTAACACTATAATCAAATACTTTGGTTTTCAAGTAATAGTTCTGACTAATAAGTTTATATCTTAAACAGGGCATTGGTTCAAAAATCATGTTAGCAATGGGTTATGTGCCGGGGACCGGATTAGGCGCGTCAAGCGATGGGCGTGTTCAGCCGGTTGAAGCTCGCGTACTCCCAGTTGGTAAGAGTCTAGACCAGTGCATGGCCATTTCCGAGAGAAATGCAGCTCAAGACCCATTAAAGGTACAATTTATTGACCGGTAATACCTATGTTTATGTGCAAACAAGGAACATGTCAAAATTCTGATTTTATTTTATAGGTGGAACAAAAACTAAGAAGATTACAAAAGAAAGAAGAGGAGCGCAACAAAAGAGCGTATGAGAGAGAAAAAGAGAAGGAAAGACGAAATGTATTCAACTTCCTTAACAAAACTTTAGGTGATAAGACAGAGGCTGATATTGTACCTGAAACCTCTTTGGATGTAAAACAGTCTTCAAGCAAAGATCTAAATATAGAACAGTTTAAAATAACAGAAGACAAAAAACGAATTGAAAAAGAGATCATCAAACTAAATACTTCATTAATCAAATATCCAAGTGGATCCAATGGCCACAGAAGTATTAACATGCAGATTATTGAGAAAAACAAAGAATTAAGTAATCTTGTGCAGAAAGAAAAACAAATATCTAAGGAACAATCACACAGAAAAGATAAACAAAAAATGACAGTTTTTTAACAAATGTTTGTTTTAGGATACCAATTTATTTCAATTAAGGAAATAAACACGTAAGGTGTAGGAAAATAAAATGTGTTAAGAATATTTTTGGTTCTTTATTTGTAAAATCTGAAGGTGCCCAAGTATTTATAACCTACAGCGTAAGTCGTGCATCATCAAAATAAGCTGATATTATTTTAAGAAAGTCCGCTTACAGTGCCCATGGTCTAGATCCTAAAGGAAAACATGAAACAAAAAGAACACGCATAAATAATCAGATTTCATGCTCACACAGACTCAAGAGTGACAAGGTCAGGAGCATGAAATTTATCATACGTCATTTCATTTTATAAATGCGATGCGGGCTTGGGTATCCCAGCTATGTATATGTAAAAGGTTGAATCCGTTTTACGACGTGACGGGTGAGTTCCGCCTCTTGGTAAGAGAAAGTATTGTGGATGCCAGTTGGCAACAATAAAGAAACACTTTGATAATTACAAATTTCTATATTTACATACGTGATGTTTAGTTTAAAATAAGCGTACATGGCATAAAATTACAATTAATATATGACATATTTTTCTATAAATTAGATATTTGTACTATCGATCAATATTAACAAAGTACTTAAAATGTTAATGGGCGTGTGACTAGCAAATAATATTTGCTGAATTTTATAATTACGAATTAGATTTTAGTGACAGTGGGTCAAATAAGTTTACCACTAAGATACTCAATATTATAGTTATACCTAAATTAGGTATGGAATTGTGGCTTCAATCACCTAATTTTATAATTATCCACTTGCAAGCATTAACTCCGATGCACATTAGATATTTTTAGAAAAGGTACAATTTATATTATAATAAAAAAATGAGTATAAGATGTTAATTATTATAAAATTTAACTTTGCATTGCCATAATTCAAATAATAACTACTAAAATCCCTTAATGTTGCTACATGAGCAAGATATTTGTACTTTTCTTCAATGAAATTTTCCTTAGTGCTGTCGTCTACATAAGCATTCGTCCTTGCAATAAAATTTAATTCTAACAAGATTAAGATTTGGCTAGTAGACCCACTGTGCAGTTCCCGGGACTAATTGGCAACTGAAATCAATAGTCAATACCAATGTCAGTCCCAGGGAAACAAGATCAACATAACACTGTGTGTATTCATTTATTGCTCAAAGTCAACAATATGTCACATGTACGCACAAGTCGAATCATTTGACCCAAGAATCTTTACAACTCTCATATGTCTATCATACTCTTTCTAAACAAAACAACAAGAAAGTCACGAGTCATAATTTGAGAGAGCAAACTATTATAAAGACACTTCCGATTCATACGAGGCTGTCAGATTGACCAAACTTGAAATAATGTAAATTACATGTGACAATATTGTTTCGTTACATTAACATGAGACTGCTACCTGTACCTGTGTTTGCAACAATACTAATATGTGTGTATAGTTATCATCTAATTATATGCTTATGCATTGATAGTTCACTATAAAATTTCCTAGACAAATTCATCACAGAGATTTGTTATATCCTCATCAAGATTACCTTATTACCGTCACCATCCATTCTCGCGCATACATTCATAACATTTATTTTAATATCTATATATTACATTAGATAATGCAATAGAGAGTAATGAAGTAAAAGAGAGACATTCTTTGTACTAAACTAAACGTCTTGAAATTAATAAGTACACTCGTATGAGACTCTTCGCCACGCAAGTAAAAATAATATTACCCTATGAATTATGATGAATTACATTTGTGATGTCTTTATTTCATGAGTTGTGATCTTGCCGCTTCCTCTAACGTCGCTATGAGATGCACACGATACTAAACCGTGATCACAACTAAGGTGCCAATTATTGAGATGAGATTCGCTTCAACTGGCGCTGTGCTTATTACTCTATTATAAATTCGAAGCGGCGGATTTTAGTAAACAACAGCCAGCTATCACTGGCCTGTATTAAATTATTCCGATATACCGATAAAAATCGATACTCGAGAAGATAACATAGTTATCTTTCATAATATGAATATAATTAAGGTATGTGGGTCCCGAGGACAAGCACTGAGTGATGCTATAGCGTCGCCCGAAGCCGACTGATGACGCACGCCATGGCCGCGTCCACGTTGTCGAATACCGGGACACCGGACCGCTTCGCCAGATCTGATAGGTAGTGCCGGCCCCGATTGTAATCCTTCACGGCTACTTCACTATACTGTAACAATATAATAATATGACATCAGAAAGCGTATTATGACATATTAACGATGATGAGATATCAAATTTTCTTCAAAATATATAGGTACTTTTGTGTACAGGTAGTGGTGAGATTTATAGCTTACATTATGAGCTTTCTGTGGGTCCATCGGTTGCACCAACAGAACTGTGTTGGCTGGTCGTAAGCCCATGTAGTGGGCTGCCAGGACCATCGCCGCAAAACATGGCGCATCCGCACTCATCGCGAACACTAGCACGCGCGACCCCAATAATAGATCTTCATCGTATGTTCCTGTAAATAATTAGCTTGTTAGAAATGTTACCACTATCACCAACCAACAATAAATTGAACGAGTAATTATGTAAAAAGGAGCCTGTAATGTAGTAGGACGACGTGGTTGACGATTCCAAGTCACATGGGATACGGACAGGAAAAAACCCCGCCAACCAACAAGCTTTTTTTGTGATAGGTCGGCAAACGAGCAAATGGATGGCGATGACGGCGCTGATGGAACAGCTCCGCCTATGGACACCCGCAACATCGAAGGAGTTACTAGTGCGTTGCCGACCTTTTCGGAATTAGGAATTTGGAGATATTAGGATTGGGGGAGGGTAAGGAGTGGGCCTCCGATAACGTCACTCATGCGGCGAAACACAACGATGTGGTTGTTTCACGTCGGTTTTCTGTGAGGCCGTGCTATTACTCCGGTCGAGCCATTCGTGCCGAAGCATGGCTCTCCCACACGTAAAGCAGTGGTTATAAATAAAGACTGCCGTACCTTTGAAGGGTTGGGGCGTGATGTCTTCAGAGACGGTGTAAAAGTCGGAAGCACTAAGTCGGTCGTGCCGGTCGTGTCGGTCGGGCGTGTCGGCGGAGCGCTCGCGGAGTTGTACATCGTCGGGTAGGTCCAGCGTGCTGGCGGGGCGCGGCTTCTTGTCACGTCGCGGGGACTCGGGGTGCGCGGGCGCAGTGCGTCGCGCCGGCGTGGAGAACATGCGCGTATAGTCGCACGCTCGAGGCACTACGTACGTGAAGCCCTCGCGTCGTAACACGTCCTCTGGACGACTGCTGTGCATCTGGAATAAGTCTGGACGTTACTTATACTGCCTTGTAGGAAATCGTGTTTGATTGTGGTAATATATGCGACCAAAATCACTTCCATCTGTATATAGTCATATATAAAAAAACAATGCCAATTTTCATCGAAATGTTATAACTCAACAATGCCTTTACCGATTTGGCTAATTTTGGTCTTGAATTATTCGTGGAAGTTCAAAAAAGGTTTGTACGTAGGGGAGGAGGAAAAAGTGTAAAATGGACATCCACGCGGGCGGAGCCGCGGGCGACCGCAAGTCAAGTAAGGCAACTTTAATCATTATATCAACCGCAAATTTTGTACGTCTTCCATACTGATTAACGTGTAAAATATGTTCAAAGTTTTGGTGAATGAGTTACCGGGAAGGTGCCGCCGAGGTAGACGTCGTGCGTGGGGGCGCCGAGCATGGCGGGCAGGCGCTGCAGGCGGCGCTCGGTGCCGGGCGTGAACACGGCGTCACTGTCCGCCGCGGGGCCCGCCGCCACGCCGCCACTACTCTCCGCTGGACGGTGACCACCGTTCTACAAAATAAAACATTTTACCTTTAACTACTTACAAATTTCCTACTAAATTGGTTTTGTAATCCAGTAACCTCAAAGGAAGGAAGGAAGCAACATTCAAAACTACATTTTCAATCGAATCGAAGTGCGTTCGTGATTCACTGAAACCGAAAAATTCATGAGAATTTAATGTGTTCCTTACCTTAGGAATGAATAAGCCGAGCTTTCGCCCGTAGGCCTTTAGCCGGGGATTTACAAGCCACAGTCCGTTGCTGGAGACATCCCTTTGCGCGGGCTCGTGCACTCGCGGCTCACTGCGCAGCTCCCCGCCCGTCGCCTCACTCTCCTGACCGTTGCGACTTTGGTTTTCTGAAAATAATTACATTTACATTATATACTTAATGCACTAATTAAAAAAATATTACATTTAGTGCTTCAAAACAAGTACAAATCAAGCCAAAGTCAGTTCTTTATTAAATATTAAGTATGCAAAAGACCGATGGTAGCAAGCAATGATACGCTTTGATCAATAAAATCAATATGACAGTTTATTTGGGCCTCGCACCATATAGTTATCGCTGAAACGACTAAAACAGTGCAAGAAGCAATGCAGCCTGGCATTACAAATAGAAATAAAAACCTTAGACATAGGGAGCTATGAAAAAGATTGAAATAAAAATGACAAATGAATTAATCATGTGAAGCGTGAGAGGATTGTTCCATATACAGCGGTGGCAGGTGGCAGGTAGGTAAACGATAAATGCAAGCACATTAAAGTCCGTTAGATAAGTAATGTGGTGCGGTGGTCTAAGTTGGGGATTGGATGCGCAGCCATGTAGTGATGTAGCGATGTATAGTGCAGCAGAGTGCGCACACGCACCGGGAGTGGGCGGGGAGAGGTAAGCGCGCAGCGAGCGGAACGCGCGGCGCACGCGCGACGCCACGCCCGCGCTGTCGGCCGCCGCCGCCGGGGGCGCCGGCCTACAGCGCCCTTCAACAAACACCACCCTTACCACAAACCCACATACCCGCCACCCAAATATTCCCAACCAGTTATGATACGACCTCGTAAACATCGTAAAACACTGCCAAATCTTCTGCTGTTGTTTGTGCAATTAACGCTCCTATCTAATGTAGAAAGGAGCGATAACATTGAAAATGACAACATAACCTTTTAATGTGCCACAATAACTTTATAGCTATAACATTGGCAGAAAACGACAGCATTTAACGAGCGTTACGGACACAAAGTGGAAATAACACTGAC